ACTCATTTTTTATGATCAATCTGAGCCCTCCAACGATGACTATTAAATTCACCCCATGAATAATGTATTTTATTTTAATAGTTTTGAAGAAGCCTTGTCTCTCTTTTATTTGTCCATTTGGATGAGTGGTACATTAATGAAGCTGATTATCATTTTCCAATAATAACCTTAAGCAGCCCTCCCTCCATTCAGTGCAAAGATATATGCATTTTTTTCACCTAATTTGTTCCACCAATTCTATGTTGAATTCAGAATAAGGCTTAGAGAAGAAAGTAACTGGAATGCCATTGAAAATGACAACACTGTCTGTTTCATGTACTATGATCTCATACATAACTATTCTCCTAAAAAGAGCACTGGATAAATTGTAGCATATATTTTGAAAAAAATACGGGGCTTTTTTTCCTATTGCCAACTCATAGTTGTAGTTCTATAATTGAAAACCTAAATCTTTTTGTGTATATACAGTAATAGTCATTTCCATCACCAGCTTATTACAGCAAGTTAGTAAAATTATCACTGTTTTATAGTTAGGAGTTCTAAGTCTAAAAAAGGCTAAACCTAAAACAATCAATATCAGGGCTGGGGATCTTCTAGCTTGCCAAATGTTACTATACTACAGTTGGCATCATTTTATGCATGCAGGTGTGTGTAGGAGTGTGTGTGTGTGTTTTAAATTACTGGGGCCTCTATGCCATTCTAATGAAAGATTTCTGAGCAGCTTATGTTTTCTTCTTCAGCAAGATGGTTTAACGGCTACAACAGTAGAACAAAATCAAGTAATAATATAAAATAATAATAATAAACAATAACTAAAGAAAAACCAGAGACTGCCATCCCTCATCCCTGACTAGGTTGGTTCAGGCTGATGGGATTCATAGAAAAGCGCAAATCCTTTCTCCCAAATCTGCTTTTACCCATTAGGTAACATTTCAACTAGTTTCCTGTGTCACTTTTTTTTAAGAACCACACATTATCTATTGAGTCAACAGACATGCAAATTCAGAGAGGCAAAAACTTCCATCTATAAAACTCAAATACAATATATTCCAGCTTTTCCTCAATTTTACAGCTTCCTGTGGTATCTTTTTTTCACTAGGTGCTCATCATCCTGACTGAATGATGAGAATGGAGAACACTCATTCCTATAGTGAAACATGGACATTTCTGTAGCCAAAACAGAAACGGGGTAGTTGGAGGTAGAATGAAATACTTTCCTTATTAGTGCAGTGTTTTGTTGTTATTTCAAATGACATAACCAGGAACCCCATTTGGTAAGTTTCTAATGTTATTTGCTTGTTAGAACAACAGTCAATTTATTCTTACGCTGAGATCAGGCAACTGTTAAATGTGCTAAGCCTCAATTTTGCATGGATAGGGTGTCTGTCATCTAGTGGTCTTTCCCTTTTGATATGTTAACTTCTATTTTGACACATGTCAAAATACATGTGCTAACACACACACAAGCCCTGACAGCACAACTATTGTCTTGTATTAATCATTACCATAGTCTGAAGCCTGCTTAGTGTCTAAGTTTACAAGTATCATGGCACATATTCAGTCAACAAGAAAATGATAAACTTGACTCCCAATCTACCACTGAGATGACCATCCTGAGATAAATATTCTGCAACAAAAATACTAAAGACATTTTTTTAAAAAATAGTTGAGGCAGAGAAAGGACTTTGTTTGGCATTTCTAATTGGAAATGCAAAAGATGTATTACTGGCTATTACTATTATTACCTAGAGCATTGAGAGCAAAGAAACCAAAGATGATTCTCTCTTATTGAATGTCATTAGATGTTTTCCCCTAGCATCTGGGAAAAAAAACATACATTGCATTTGATGGGATTATGATTTGATATTGATACAAATCAACTGAGAATTGCTTACCTTCTAAATGGGGAAAAACCTGATTAGCTTTTTGAGATCAGTCAAGATTGAGTAGCTGCTATATCTATTGAAGCCTTTGTTACCAGTTACATCTCTCTAGCTTGTTATACACAAGTTGACCTCTCAAGACATATTGTATTTATTTTGGAACATCTCATTCATACTTTCAACTTCATACTTAATCCTTGACTTATGACCACAATTGGAGCTGGAACTTCCATCACTAAGCAATGTGGTCATTAAGAAAGTCACATCCAATTTTGCTATCTTTTTTTGCTGTAGTTGTTAAGCAAATTATGTGGTTGTTAAGCAATTCTAGCTTCTCCATTGACTTTGCTTGTCGGAAGCCCCCTGTGAAGGTTGTAAATGGTAATTACATGAACCTGAAATACTGCAATTATCATAAAGACATGCCAGTTATCAAGTGCCTGAAATCTGATCTCTTGTCTGCAGGGACTCTGAGACAGTTGTTAAGTGCGATGATGATCCTAAGTCTGTTTTTCCAGGGCTGCTGCAAATTCAAACAATTCAATAGTCGTAAGTCGAGGATTATTCATATTACAACCTATAACCAGTGAACACTTAGCTTGTCTATGGCTCTGTTTTAAATTCAAAAACATTTTAAGGTCATTCAAACATTGTGTATCTCGCAGCATTATAATATATAACTTTTGGCACCTTTCTTTAGAAAAGCTTGTGGGTAGAGGATTAAAGTGATTGCTTGCATTTACAAAAGCACCATTCTAGAATATCCAAAGTTCAACTTGGCTGTGAAGTAATACTTTCTCAGCACACATCGATGCCACATACTCAGTTGTTATTAAAATGCAAGTGATGAAATCTAGAGAAGTCAAAAGTTGCAAACCTTTGTGTCCATTTAATCGTTTTGCCTTTCCAAAATGCACATCCCTGGCTTCTTCCTATGAAGAAAATATTTAATTGTACTGCTAGCGAATAGAGATTGAATAAACCTAATTCTGAATCAAAGTAGAAATTTTAATTTACAACTAAATGTAATTCAATGTTAACTTTGGAAAGGCCAATATTGAATATGCTATCTTGTTTCATCACTTTTGACCAGTGTTATGTGCGTGAAGAGGTTAGTAAGCCTAATTTATTGCTGACCGGTTAGTCCAGTATTCCCCAGGCCATTATTGCTAAATGTTGAAAGAAGGGCTCACCGATTATTAACCTCTCGCCTCTGCAACAGTGTGAAATATATCTACATATAGTGGTACCTCGGTTTTCATAGTTAATTGGTTCTAGGAGGTGCAATGAGTACCAAAAATGATGAGTAGCAAGCAAATTCTTCCTATAAGGAATAATGTAGTGAGTCACAAGGCAGCTGGCGCTGAAAAATTAGTACTAGGATAAAAATTTTGAGTCAAAATGTGTTGAATACCAAATGTTATGAGTTTCAAAGCAATTGAGTACCAAGGTACCACTATATCTGTAAATGGAATGTAGAAATCCATGTAGACTTACTAGTTTAATTGTTATGGACAAAAAGGAAAGCAGAGGACAATCTTATCGCTCTAACCCAAAACAGTTATTAGCAATTCTTTGCCAAATGAAACTATTTTAGAGCAATAATTTTCTTCTTGAGACTTGGGATTGCCAGTACTATAGTGCCATCTTTTGGACTGTCCAAGTAACAGCAACTTAATTTGCTAAAAAGAAAGAATTAAGAATAGTCTGATTTTAGCTATTTTTAAAATTATTACAGGATTTTCTATATGTATTGTATGTTGGCTTAATACCACTAATACATACGGCAAGTCTTCTAGCCTCAAGGCTGCATTAGACACATATTTTTGGGAACAACAATTATAGCCTTAAGGAAAGCCGATTGGATCCGTTTGAAGGTTGTAAAATGTAAAGATGGATCTAATTTAATTCCTTACATCATTTGCACTATAAGTTTGGCTTGAAATAGCTTGATTGCTGCCAGAATGAATTTCCCTGATTTCCATAAAAACTTAACTGCAGTGCTTCTCTGTATCTTCAAGGTGGCATAGATAATTTGAGCATTTAACTTCCTTTTGCTTTGGAAGACAGATACTTACATGGCTTAACTTGTTCAACTACATGATTACTAAATAATAATAATAATAATAATAATAATAATAATAATAATAATAATAATAATAATAATAATAATAATAATAATAATAATAATAATAAAGTTGGAAGGGACCTTGAAGGTCATCTAATCCAACCCCCTGCTTAGGCAGGAAACCCTATACCATTTCGGACAAATGGCTGTCCAGTCTCTTCTTAAAAGCTTCTAGTGTTGGAGTATTCACCGCTTCTGGAGGTAGGTTGTTCCACTGGTTAATTGTTCTCACTGTCAGGAAGTTTCTCTTTGTTCTAGGCTGCTTCTCTCCTTGATTAGTTTCCATCTGTTGCTTCTTGTCCTGCCTTTAGGTGCTTTGGAGAATAGCTTGACTCCCTCTTCTTTGTGGCAGCCCCTGAGATATTGGAACACTGCTATCATGTCCCCCCTCGTCCTTCTCTTCGTTAAACTAGACATACCCAATTCCAGCAGCCGTTCCTTATATGCTTTAGCCTCCAGTCCCCTAATCATCTTTGTTGCTCTTCTTTGTACTCTTTCTAGAGTCTCAACATCTTCCCTAAACGTTTTTTTAAAAAAAAAACAATCAAAATGTTGGGGGTTTTTTCCACAATGAATACACAAATGTTCACTTTTAACAAAGGAATGCCAATTTTCTTGCTTAAAATTACTCCATATTTCCTTCTTGAGATTGAGTAAAATGATACTTGAAAATCAACAAAGCATATAGTTTACATTGCAAGTGTATATTTTTCCTCGTGGAAAGAATCTTCTATCAAATTGATTTTTAAGTTTTCTTATTTTTCAAAGATGCATTTTGGGTGATAATTTCTGCTGAATATTAAAACTAGTTTGTAATTTGTGCTTATTCTCAATGAACCCTCTTGCGCTAACCTTTAAAAATGTGTTTTTCTAAAATGTACTTATATAATAGGCATGAAAAGAGAATGTATTTCTGTGAGCTTTATTACTTTTTTTCAGTAAACTTTTAAGCACCCACCTTTAATAACATACCAGAGAATTTGGACAAGTTTGTTTAAACATATAAATAAGAATGTATGTAATTAAATACATGAAATAAAAATGAAATTTAAAGAAAAGTGGGGTTTCTCAAAAAAATTACCATGAAGCAAAAATAATTAATACAAAAACATCCAATACTATTTCTATTCCTATTTAATTATCGTCTGCCTCGAGATTTATATTGTTGCCAAACTTTGCATAAAGCTGGACCTTAAGATCTGATAATACTCTTTGGATGGATTCCACTTGCGCTTCCAAAGTTCCAATTTCTTCCTGTAAGTTTTTCTGGCAAAGAAAAAAAATGGAAAAATGTTAAGTAAAGATTTCAAGGAAACATTTTCCCTTCCAAACATTCATCTATTACAGCAAAATCAACAAAGATTTTGTGTCACCTTAAAGATTAGCATATTTGTTAACAACTAAAACAACTTTTTTTCCCTTTATTGATTAGACTTCTGATTCAGAAGATTACAAGTTATAGACAGTTCTTAAAAATATGAACCCATCAGACTACCTTATCTGCACACTTAAAAATGTTTCACCCAACTCGAAGGTTTTATGTATATTATTATTTTAACAGTGGGTGTTTTAATATTACTCTAGCATGACTGCTTTATCTAAACAACACTATGCATGAATTACTATGTGGACCAGAAAACAACCATTAGAATGGAATATGGGGCCATTAATAATTCAAAACTTGGAAAAGTAGTGCACCAAAGTTAAATATTGTCACTCTACATATTCAGCGTATATGCTAAACTTATTATGAGATTGAAAAAAACAGAAGATGGTGTTAACGTTGCCAAGAAAAAAATATATAGATACGCTGATTATACTATTTTAGTGGCTAGAAAGAAGAATCTTTTGTTGAGATTGAAAAATGAGTGTGCAAAAACCAATCTTATGCTCAATATCAGAGAACATCATGTTGATGACAAAGATACACATTGCCAAGTCATGATTTTCATAGCTGTGAAAGTTGGCAATCAGAAAGACTGAACAAAAACAACAAATCAATGTCTTTGAACTGTGATGCTGAGAAATTGTTGAGTGCAAGAAAAACTAGTGATTCATTTCTAGATACAATAGAAGAAGACTACCTGAGAAAATATTTGCCAATTTCCCCCCCATCTTTTCTTGCTGCAACATCTTAAAAGAGCCACAGAAATATTACAAGGAACAGAACATACCTTTGCCTCCTCCAACATCTCTTCTGTTTCATCTTGGGGGTGACTAATGAAGACATCTCCAATTTGATACGGTATCAATAATGAATCATTGTCAAGCACCATGATGTCATCACAAGCATCTTGCAGGTTCTGGAGCTGTTTCTGGGTTTAAGAAATCAAGTTATTTTGCCACCGATTTAGCCATCATTATATGATTGTAATTCAACTTAGGATAAACCATGATATGTTCATGCACAAACACTCACACATATATGTATGTATGTATGTATGTATGTATGTATGTATGTATGTATGAATGTATGTATGTATGTAATTCTAAACTAACTGTGACTATCTAAGAAACAGCTTTGGGACAAAATTCAAAAAAGTAGAACCAGCTAGCCCAGGGGTGTCAAACTGCCAGCCTGCGGGCCGGATGCATCATAGCGAAACTGCGCCCACCCCATTGCCGGCAATGGCAAAAAAGACATGATACGTCGCAACACGTGACGTGACATTGCGAGTTTGACACCCCTGAGCTAGCCCTACCAGCTATCTCTCAACACTGAAAAAGATACATTTAAGTGACTAAAATACAGTGACATGTTTTAATGGCATTTGAACTGTCAATGTGATTCTTCGTGGTGAGTTGATTTAAACTGATTTTGAAACACCCAGTCTCATGAATCAGTTTGGTGACTTGATTGCTTTTTATTTCCACACATTCATAATAGGTTTGACAAAATCCTTACTTAGATTTAAAATGCTCTCTTAACTACATGGGTGGGTGGGTGGCTCATCCTTACAAAAAATCTTCAGTGTTCAGAGAGATGTAGAATATGTCAGCTAGAATACTGAAAGTGTCTCTCTCTGTCTTGCAGGAAAAAACTAAAATATGGTTATGTTTAATTTTGTGAAAAAAAATGAGTTACTATCTTGAGATTATAATTAATTACATTTGTATACCGTTCAACTCCCAGCAATTCTGAAAACATTTGTGGCCAATTTGAAGCCACATCGTACTTTACCCAACGTAATTTGCCAAAAGGAAAAATATATGCCAATAATATTATAACCTGGTAGAAGAAATATTTCTGCGGCAAATTTCTTCCCATTCTGCTTGAATCAGTAAGAGAAACCTGTGCTTTTACTATTTGTACCATTGCCATTTCTCCTGAATACCACTGGCATTCAAATGAACCACAGCATACATTTGGATTGTAGCGAACATATTTTTGCCAATTATCTTACAGAAAAAAATATTGAGTTTGATATGATTTGGGAACTGTCTTATTTCAGTTACCTTCTTATCGTCTATTTCTTCTTTTAGTTCTGTACTTCTACTGGTGTTTCTAGCAAACTTGTTGATTTTCTGCTGATCTTCAAAAGTAACATTAACATCTTCTGCTGCCTATACAAAAACAAAAAAAAAGCTTCTCAAATATATTGCGTGTGAACAATAATCCACTTTTTTCAGTTAAATTAGGTTACCTCATACACACCATTATTTCAGCTTGTCAGAGAATAATCAGGTTATGTTCTAAGACAGGAAGTGATTACATATTCAGTAAGGACAAGATGTTGACAGAATGAAAGTATAACATTGACAGACAAGGTGTAAAGGGAGAGTATAAGGAAAAGTCCTTAGGATATTTGCATACACAATTGTAACCATAGGAAACACCTGAGATCATAAACAAAAGTCATAGTGGCCTGATTCACATATAGCATTAAGCTAGGGCATATTTAGTGATGGTTTGCTGACCAAACCAAAATAGTTAAGTCTGCATATAATGCTAAATTCAAGGGATGTTTCAGATGACAATAAAAGGCAAGCAAATATCATTATGGCTTAATGTAATCATGCTATAGTTGAACTACATCAATATTTTAAATTGGTATGGCATGGGGATAGAGGGAACAGACTAATGAATAAACACAATTGTATGTCCATAAAAATAGAAAATACACAATAAATCAACTGCACTAGAAAAATAATCACAGTTCCTTAATCTCACAACACATGGACAGACTCAATTACGTTTTCAAGTGAAAAACAGTGAGCATTCTAGACCAAACTAAATCCCAAAACACTAAGGAATTTCTGGACGTTTGGCAGACAAATCGGCCATCAGTAGACACATAGAAATAAAGCATATTTACATGTCGGTCAAAAGAGACAACAAAAAGAAGGAAACAAAAAAAGACCAGAACATATCACCTCCAACAATAGCACTCAGATAAGCAGGTATTAACATCAGACAAACAATTAAGCAGAAAACAATATCCTAATCAAGGAACTCCCAAGGAGAAAACCATATACACTCCACTACTGGAATAGCAAGCTATTGTATATATCAGTGATGGCGAACCTTTTAGAGATTAGGTGCCCAAAAACTACCATCCCGCCCCCGCTCCGCCTCCCGCCCTGCCTGCTCCACCCCCACCCACCCCCTGCTCCACCCACCTGCAGGGCCATGCACCGCCTCCATGGCCTGCTGCAGCAGATTGCCAGGCAGCCCTGCAGCACCATGGCAGCCATGCCCTCTGCCCACATCCCGCAGCATCATCTGCATGCTATGGGGTGCGAGGGCAGAGTCTTGTCCCTGTTTCCCAGGGGCGACTCTCCTCCAGGGGGGCTGCTGGTGAGGAGAGGGCCGTGGGGGAGGCGGGACTGGGGCAATGGCGTGCGTGCCCACAGAGAGGGCTCCGAGTGCCGCCTCTGGCACCCATGCCATAGGTTCGCCACCACTGGTATATATCAAAGAGAGCAACTCCCCTTTACTACCACTGATAATGTTAACTAGGCAGGTAATAAAGTACCTACAACAAACAAGCAACCAAACTCATAGAGAGCACCAAGAACTCCACAAAATATTCTATTACTCAGAAAAATAAAGCAATCAAATAAAAAGGGCAGAAGAAAGGGATAAGATGGAAGAATGAACCAGTTTTCTCAGCCAATAATTTGGAGCAAAGAAAAGTAATCCCAAGATTAGCATCAAACTCATGCAGTCTAGTTAGACAATCTAAGGCATATTTCTTCAACCTAATGCTCTCTTTTGAACTACAAATATTGTTTTATATACTATGCTATCTGGATGGTAAAAAAGTTATCCACAGCAGTTTGACTGAACCTGGCCTTGAATACTGATTAAAAAGTTTTATAAAATTATTTCGTTCTACTGAAAAACCAGTTTTTCCCAATAAAACTAAGCAAATAACTAAAAAGTTAGTAGGGGAATATATGAAAACTTATATTCTCCTTTTATGCTTTTGATTTTAAAGCGTAACTTAACCTAGGACAAAGGATTTAGGAGCAAACCAATTCTAAACGAATCTCTGCCTACTCACCTAATGAGCTTATTCAGATTAGGTGAGAAATGAAACCATCCTGGAGGACATATAGGGTTCCCCTAACCCATGGGTTGGCAACCCGCGGCTCCGGAGCCGCATGCGGCTCTTTCAGCCGTCTCCTGCGGCTCCCTGTCCTCAGCCACCATGTGTAATCTGAAAAAAAAAGTGGGACTAAAAAGGTTCAACCAATCAATTCAAACTTCTTATGAAGTTTGAATTGATTGGTTGAACTTCTTTGGGTGGCAGGGAGGATTGCTGGAAAGGTGTCCCTGGTAAGGAGCTGCGGGTGGCCGATCTCGGAGTGCCTCTTCCCTGCCCGGCGGGTCTCCCCTCGCCCTGCTCTGCCACCGCCTGTTAGTCGGGGGGGTCGCCGGGGGTCTCTGTAGTTTCCCCTCTCCGCCTGCGCCTTTCAGCCGTCTCATGGGCAGCGGATCCCCATGGCCTCTTTGGAGAGATTCCCCCGCAGCACCTGTGCGGCCCTTTCCCCACCTGCTGCGCGGACCTCTTGTCCGTCCTCCCGCTGCCGCTGGTGCCGGTCACGCTGAACAAGGCCGAAGAGGTGGCGGCGAGCGGTCAGCTGCGCCACTTCACCGTCCTCCTGCTGCCGCCACCGCCACCCTCAGTGCTGCAGGAGGAGACCTTGGGCTGCGAGGGCGGCGGGCCGGGACCCTCTCATCCCTGCGGCGGAATTCCCCGTTGCCGGCGTGGCCGCCCATGGTGCACCCGGCCTTGGCGCCCTCCTCTTGCAACGGCGAAGTGGCTGAGGACGCGCAGGGGCGGCGGCCGGGCCAGGGGCAGCGGGGACCCCCGACGATGCTGCAGTGGCCGCCACAAGAGAGAAAGAGGAAAGAGAGAGAGAATAGAGAGAGAGGAAAGAGAGAGAAAGAGAGGAAAGAGAGAGAGGAAAAAGAGAAAGAGAGAGGGGGAGAGGAAAGAGAAAGGGGGAGAGGAAAGAGAAAAAGAGGGAAGAGGGAAAGAGAGAGGAAAGAGGGAGAGAGAGAAAGAGAGGGAGAGGAAAGAGAGAGAGAAAGAGAGGAAAGAGAGAAAAAGAGGAAAGAAAAAAGAGAGGAAAGAGAGAGGAAAGAGGGAGGGAGAGAGAAGAGAGAGAAACCCTTCTGACATCTAAAATGAAGATAACACTGCATATATCTTTTACCTTTATTTTATATATACACACACAAACACATATACATACATACATACATACATACATACATACATATATTAAAGGTAAAAAAGGATATATGCAGTGTTATCTTCATTTTATATATCAAAAGGGTTTTGCGGCTCCCAGTGTTTTGTTTTCGGTGGGAAACGTGTCCAAGTGGCTCTTTGAGTGTTTTGGGTTGCCTGAAGAAACTACTTGGATAAGCAGTAAAACTTTTCAAAGCAAAAGAAAATAAATCCAGTTGTCAAAATGTAACTCCCAGACAACTCTACCTGGACTGAGAATCATCAACATATTTTTAAAGCAAGATTCTATTCTCTGCCCCTAAAGTCACAGCTGAACATTTAATTATTTTATTATTTATAACATGTTGCAAAGTAAAATGACAACTTGTCTCAGCACAATCAAATATCTGGGTTTGATCGTATATATATTTAAAGGTAATATTTTTGCACAACAATCATAACTTATTCTTAAAACCAGATTAATAAAATACATTCAGCCAACACAGAGGCTATTTTGAAGTATGCTTAAATCCAAAGCAAGAAACACTAGATAGAAAATACACAAGACAGTAACACCTTCTAAGCATGAGGTCAACAAAAGGGTAAAGTCTCCTAATCTGAGGTTCTGTTGAAAAAGTGTTGGCAAATGAATTCATCCTAATAAGTTTATGTTCATATCCTAGAAAGCTTTTTGGGTAGGGAGTAATTCGTGATTGCTTTATTCCAAGTTGTGGGTTGTTGTTTTTTTGCTGTGGAATCCTTGGGGCTCTCTGAGCTTGGTTGTGATACAAGCCCTGTTCTATTTATTTTTTTTATCTTACCTTTTTTAAAAACAATTCGAGGTGATGTACATACCGGATGTTCTATTTTTCCCACAACAACCTGAGTTGGGTTGGGCTGAGAGAAATTGACTGGCCCAAAGTCACCCAACTAGCTTTATTCCTAAGGCAAAACTAGAACTCAGTTTCCCAGTTTCCAGCCCAACAATTGAACCACTACCCCAATGGTTTTCCGTTGTGAGTCAAAACAGTGCACAACCGCACCAGTGGCAAAGCTTGCATCCAGCATTGAAAGGAGCTCACTAATAGCACTGACCAGGTTCCCCCAATGCTTGACTTCCAAGCCTCAGCCAAGTACTACTACTTACTGAGGTGCCCATGGGGGAGGAATGCCGTAGCTCACTTAAGTCTACATCACACAAGACTGTGACATTGGAAAAGGTGGAGACTGCATGCATTCCCAAACTAAGGAAAAATGAAATCTCTTTTCAGTTGAGCTGGCCGCCTTGACATTTCCCAGGCTAGTTTATTTGTTGGGGACCAGGGAGTGGTTTATCATGCCTTTTTCCTGGAAACTTTTCCATCCACTCAGCCTAGGACTACCTTGTGGTCTCCACTCCCTGTCCCCGATGAGCCTGGTTCAGCCACCAATCAGAATCACGTGATGCTTCAGACACTGACGACTTACAACTCCTGGCAGCCTCTCAGCCTGAGCCGTACGGCGCCCTCTGCAGGCGCAAAGCGGGATATACAGGATTTACGCCCCCAAATGAGGCCCCGCCTCCGCGCTGCCCAATATCGCATCCCCCGTCAAACGCGGAGGGCGCCAGGTTGGGAGTAGGGGCTGCTTTACCGGACGCTACGCTCGTTTCAGGATGTTCCAGGGCAAAAACTGGGGTTCCCCCCCCCTTCCCCTTAATAGCCCCTTCAACGCGCCTCCATCTCGGGCAGATCACGCCGCTCACGGCCTCCGCCTGTCCGGGCCTAAGGCCTCCCCTCCGGACGCTCTCCGGCCTCCTCCCGCTCCTCAAGTTCCACTGAGGAAAACGCCGGCGAAAGCATCACCGGGAGGGGGGGGGAGGTAAGCCAGTAGAACAGCCGCCAGTCCACCCGACTTCGCTCTCCTGCCCGCCCCAGCCCGCTCACCGCTTTCTTCATGGTGGCCGCCATGTTGTGGACTAAACCACCTACTCCTTCTCGATGGGGAGGTTTCTCATTTGGCTGAGGCTCTCCCTTATTTTTTTTCTCCTTCGGTTGTTCGTCCGAGTCGCAGTGAAAGGAAGCGGCTTCAGCGTTCAGTTTGAGGAAAGAAGACGCAACGTCGAGGACTGTCGGCTATCAACTCCCCTCACCTCAGTGAGAGTTGGTATGGCCCAAAAGAGGGATAGAGGAGGAGGACGGACAACAGCGGGAAATGGAAAATGTTGGTAGGTTGTGATGCTGGCGAGAACCGGCAGATGGCGCAGCGTCCTTGTTAATAATGCGGTGGCTGGCAGAGGAGAAAGGGGGAAAAAACTTTTATTTTGCAAGCTAGAATAAAGGGAAATTCTTCTTCCAGTCAAGTGCACGCAGCACATCCCTGCAGCTGCCATTTATTTACTTACCTGCTGATTTGATTTTTAGTTCGTCCTTATTACTTTATTACTTTATTAAGTAACTCAAGGTCAGCGGTCTTCAAACTTGGCCCTTTTATGACTTGTGGACTTCAACTCCCAGAATTCCTCAGCCAGCGTGCCTGGCTGAGGAATTCTGGGAGTTGAAGTCCACAAGTCATAAAAGGGCCAAGTTTGAAGACCCCTGCTCAAGGTGGTGAACACTCCTTCCTCCTCTTTTTCCTCACAACAATCCTGTTTGATGGGTTGAAAGAGAGCGCCTTGGAATGATTTAATTTGTTTTACCAGTAAAGGAGAATATTTGCAACTCAGGGTTGAAATGAGCAGCCTTTGGTGCTCTCTAAGCTTGGTGGTTTTCTTACAGCCATTTTATTACCCAACTAGGTAACATCATCGGTGCTAGGAGTGGGATTTGATCTCAATTGAGGGAGCAGCTGAGTGAGGTTTGCTTTCTCCACTCATTATTATTATTATTATTATTATTATTATTATTATTATTATTATTATTATTATTATTATTATTATTATTATTATTATTATTATTATTATTATTATTTAAATTTATATACCGCCCTATCTCCCTTACGGGACTCAGGGCGGTGAACAGGCGATAATAAAAATCACAATAAATATTAAATAAAAAGCCTGCTCTAAAATACTAGTACTTACTAGTACTTATTAGTACTGATGATGTTATCTAGTTTGGGTAATGAAATGTCTGCAACAAACAACCAAGCTCAGAGACCACTAAGGACTCCTTAATTTTTTTTTATGGCATTTTCTGGTAGGCCAACACATTTAGACTGTCCAAGTTTGGTAACTCTGGATTTCTGGGTTGCCATCTCTCTCTTTCTCTCCCCTCCCTCTCTCTCTCCCTCTCTCTCTTTTGGCTTTCCAGCCTAGACTGCAACTCAGTTTTCCTCCTAGTCCCATGGTGGCGAACCTATGGCATGGGTGCCACAGGTGGCACGCAGAGCCCTCTATGTGGGCACGCGCGCCGTTGCCCCAGTCCTAGGCCTTCTGCTGGGTTTTATAAAACCTTTTCGCTTTAGTCCTCCACCACCGTGTGGAAAAAAAAGGTTCAATCAATCAATCAATTTCAGCTTCTCGTGGGAAAAAAAAGATCCCGCAAAGCTAGAATTGATTGATTGAACTTTTTAGTCCCACCCAGTCTGCCGTTACCACTGTAGCCACGCCCACCCAATGGGCCACGCCCACCCAGCACCCGACGACACATAAGTGGGTTTCAATTTGGGCACTCGGTCTCTAAAAGGTTCGCCATCACTATCCTAGTCTGTCTCTGGAGTGTAACCAGGTGTGATCCTGCTTAGATTTTTCAGATCAGCCATACTTTCAGTTAAGACCATGGTCAGATGTTGACCAGTGGCTGAAGTACAGGACATAGCAGTCCCATGGTAGATGTTACTGTGTTGAAAAGTAAGCCATTGTTCCTTAAGATGGCATGGGGGGAGAGTATTATCTCCCCTTTTCTCATATTTTAGTCAGAAAACCCCCAGCTTTCATATATTAAAGGCAAAAGACTCCTTCCTTTGAGACCTAAGTAAAATGTGGCACTTGTCTCGATAAAAATTGATTTATGAGTTGCACATAAGAAAAAAAAACAGTGTTCCCTTTTGAAAACATTAGTGAAAAAAATTACAGCTTGTCCTTTTCACTGATTTTTATTTCACACCCCCCCCAACTACAGGGGAGAAATCAAGGCAACTTGTGGGAATTATTTTTACATGTGGGAGAGGGCTTTTCCAGTCATTAGGGTACAGAGCCTTTGGGAAGGGATAATGCAACGATAAAATAAAATAACACAGCTTCTAGTGTCAAGGGTGTTGCACAGATTTGTTTCCTGTATCAGAATATAATGGTAATAATTTTAAAACTTCCTGGATTTGACACCACTAATTTTGCAAAAGACTTGGAATGATATTTATTTTACGGGATACCTCTGTGACTCTTAGGTCCTTAGCTAACATCTGAATCATAGGAGTCAACACCCATCAATTAGATTGTGATATCCATTTGAATTGGATAGAATAATCATAATATAAAGTCAAATGGTAAGTTTTCAAAGGGTAACTTCCAAACATATAAGTAGACAGGTGGGATATTAATAACCTCTCAGCGCTTATTGAACTATTAATCTCCAGGGGAAAGTAGGGTACAGATAGGTAAGGATGTATTCTATCTAAAAATCTGCTGATCTCAGATTACTTCCTTCTGTTTTTCTTCCCAGGTACAAACATGTACAAAGAACATGTTTTGTTGACTTTCCTCTGTAGAATGCAATTAGCTTGATGCTAATGTAGCCTATCCCTATAATATGCATGTGTTTCCTGTAAATGAATCCCTTTTCTCTTATAGTTATACAACTTTCATCATTATTCATTAATCGGGTGAGTTCTTATGCACACATGTACACACACAGAATGCTTCAACCAATCCCAATCTTCTTCTTACTTAGGCCTTCAAAATCCTTAAGAGTTTTTAAACTTGTTTGGTCTGCGTATATTTTAATGAATTGAAATTGAGATTTGGACATTGACATCTATGGGGTCTTCAGGGGACAAAGAGCAAAATGAATATAACAAGTTTTGCCTTACATGGGCTGTCACAATGTACATTTATACACCACAGGAGGAGTTTGCCTCCTTTTGTGATGCTTGCTTCCTCATTCTGCTGAAACACTGATTCTATAGATGCCTCTGAAGGAGAACACATAATTCATCACTATTCTGTTCCTAACGTAGAAGGTAACTTGAGGGACGTAAATAATGAGTGCAACAACCTTAATTGGGTAATGCAGTAATTCCTCAAAAAAAAAATAATGTGTGCAAATAGAGTCTTTTGCCTTGTGGCATCCTAAGTCCCAGATGGGCTTTCCAGAGTGACTGACTATATTCTGTTATTCTCGCCTTTTAAATATTAATAATAATCACAACAACAATAATAGAAGAATTCAAACACTATTTAAAGGCTTTCTGGCTGATGTCATACAAGCATATTTTAATTGCTTTCCTCTATATCGAGTGTCAAACACGCAATGTCACGTGATGTGTCACGACATAGCGTGACTTTTTTTCCATTGCCAGCAATGGGGTGGGCACAGTTTTGCCATAATGCATCCGGCCGTGGGCCGGCAGTTTGACACCCCTGATCTACATCCCCTCATCTCATCCCATGGCCACCCAGTTTACTTTGGGCTCAAAAGCTAAACAGGATCAGAGGTGAAGGGATGGTCTTAGAGGGAAGGCCATCCCCCCCCCAAAAAAACCCAGGGCTGCACAATTTACATTAAATAAATGGAGGGGGGGAAATCTGAGAAGTCTGACATTACCAGTTTCTGTTGCCCCCAAATCTTATAGCTTTACTCTTTTATGTCCATCACTATTTCTCAATGTAATTTCTTAAATAGCAACTTTTTAGTGCAGTAATACAAACCATGTTGAAAGGGAGGAGGAAACGAAGCATAAATGTTTTATTTAAAAGTGAAGTTATTCTCTAGTAATAATACTTTTCTTTGTTGCTAAAGCGGGGCTGTTGGGTTACTGTTTCTGTTCAGGACAACTGGCTACAATGAGGTATATGTGAAAGAAATAATTGTGAGAAAACTTTGGCCTAGCACAGTGGTTCTCAACCTTTTTAATGCCGCGACCCCAACCGGTCGTAAGTCGAGGACTAAACCGGTCGTAAGTCGAGGACTAAACCGGTCGTAAGTCGAGGACTAAACCGGTCGTAAGTCGAGGACTACCCAGCCGGTCATAAGTCGAGGACTTTCCCTGCCCGGGAGCGCCGCACATGCATGGTTCTGCCCCCTGCGCCGGCCGAGGCGTA